ATCTCTTTCTTCCTCGTTCTCGAGCTCGACTAGTTGGATCGATGCAGCGAGCTGCATATTCGAGTTCAGCGACCGTGCGAATTCACCAAGTACAACAATAAATCAGAGGGAATCGAGAATCATAATAAGATTACCGATAGTAACATTATCCTCTATAGATATCGAACAAGCGATTGTCGCCTCGCGAAACTGATGACATCAACGCAAGCAACGGGAACAAGAGTAGATTCATTCTGGCAAAATTGGATTCGCGTAGCAGCGCTCGAAACTACATTTCGACGTTAATTGTAAAGTCTCCACTTGGGAAACGCGCTATTAAAAATAACGGAACTAGTTTGAAAGCACATTGAGGTCTAACCGAGGTATCTTCAGCTGATTAATTTCCAGGCGCTCTCGTCGCGCCGCTGGAAAAGTCGCCCGTTGACCGTTTTCCCCTTTCGCGAAACAGCTCAACTCTCGTTTCTCTCGCGTATCAAGAGTCCTTCCCAAGTTTCAGGCCAAGTACAATAATATTATCACTGAGTTAAGTCATCTCGCAGTAGTCGCAAAGAATTCCCATTAAAGGATTTCAAAGGATAAGACCCACGAGGAGGGGGAAGATTCCGCCCGGAACTCGAGTTAAATTATCGCGGAGTGTGTTTGTTCCATTTTCTACGCCAGCACCGCTGGAGCTGAAAGGAGCGCAGCCTTTTGACCTGAATACCCGAGGAGCCCCGTTTTAGCCGCATATAATGTCGCTAAATAAGAGCATTAAACAGGTTATCCCATCACGTCGCGATTAAGCGGCGACGGACGCGATTTATAATGATTATCGGAAACTATAATACACATCGTCTCGCAGGAAATTTCATTCAGCAAGAGCCGGAGGAAACGAGTCGCGAATAAAATACGAAAAGACGTTTATAAGCTGAAAACGGAATTTTCCTCGTCCGCTGGAGACTTTCCCCGTTCATTTTATTACGGCCGGCCGGCCAATAAAACTAATCACACTCTTTAATTATCGTAATCCCAGGCATTATTCCATCCTGTTAAGCTCGACACTAATCATCCGATGTGAAGCGAATTCCGTTTATCCGCTATGAGCAGAAAACGTACGTTCTCCCGTAACAGAATAAGTTCAGCGAATTTCTATCCGCTGACGAACGATCGGATTGATTATTTTCGTGGTCATATAAAACAACAGAGAGACAGTGGACAGTGGAACAAGGAGAAAGTGGGTAGAATGATTATAGTAAATATATTTTTACTTTCTCTGTAGAATTACCGTATATTTAAAAGTGCATATAATATTATTATTCTCCATTCTCTAACATATTATTATTCTCCATTTGTTTATATTGCAATATTTTTTAAATGGATAAATAAATATAGTGACCGTGAGAAAAGATAATAAATATTATGTCAAAAATTATACGATCGTAAATAATTATTTTTCTTTTGATTCTAATTTTATTTTATTTTAAGTTATGTAATTATGAATAATTGTTATTTTTATTCTTAACTAGATTTTATTTTCTTAAAGTTATTATAAATGATATTTTTCGTTTATAAATACTATTTATTTGTATTTTATTGTGTTATTCAAGCATAATAATAACAGAAAAATATAAAAAAGATTTTTATTTATGGAAAAATTAATAATATTAAACAGTTTTAACTTTATCCACATATAGACAAAATGATGAAACTGATACTTCCTCAAAAAAATCTAAATTATATAAAGTTCTAATTTATTTATAAACTTTTCAGTCTTTGTAGATGATAAGCTTTATCTAATCGAAAAAAAATGATCATTATTTTTATCATCATAAATATTAAAGAAAAATTATGAATATTAAATTATGAATATTAAAAAAATTGACGAACCTTAAGATCGTCGTCTTATCTTTCTTACTTCTATTATATTTTTATTTTTCTTTTCAAATAAAGACATGAAATACTAGAAAAATTATATATTTTGCGATAATATTTTCATTTGACAAAGACTCGTATTATCCACCAATATTCCTCAACCATCGTTCGCTGATACATTTACCGGTACTCTATGGCCTTCAATTTCCTTCGTATCAAGGCTCGCGGCTATTTCGCAGTATCGTAAATCGCGAAATCGCATCTAGTTGCCAGAGAGAATGGGAGAGAAAGAGGGACAGAGAGAGAGAGAGAGAGAGAGAGAGAGAGAGAGAGAGAGATTAAAGTTAAGGGCAAACAGGCAAGTGGGAGAAACTGAGGTCGACCAGGCCTCCAAATTCCCTTTTAAAACGCTCTCCGTGGTGAAATAAATTGGCGCCGGTGTGTTTACACGTTAGGGCAAAATTAAAATTCCTGAAGTGTTGCGAGGTAGCTCCCGGTAGAAAGAGGCGGAAGAACAGTGCCGGAGAGCGGCTAGCCGCGAGAGGAAAGGGGATGGGGACAGAGAGGTGCACGAGCGGTAGGAGAGGACGCGGGCGTCGACGGGCGGATGCCCGAAGGAGAAATGTGTTTAATTAATGACCGGACTAATTAAAAGCCCAAAGAAAAATACATTTGCGCAGGATCCAGGGTGGTGGCACGAGCGGGATAAGGGCCGTGCTAAAACACCCGTTCGGTGTTAATGCACAAAAGCGTCGCGCCGACGACGGTGACGACGAAGGAAAGAATGGAAACGAGTCGACTAATAAGTTCGCCCTGTTTCAATTATCTCGACACCCGGCCGTCCCCTGGTCACGTCCGTATTCTGTAGATATTCAGCAAAGTAACTGCTGAAGAATCGGCTCGGGAACTTTATACAAGAGTACAATCTCGTAGGAAAGTAAAATGATCGTATTAAACGGACGCAATTGTCGATATACCGTTTGCACGGTATAATTTCGCTTCTTGGAATAAAACTGAGGACGGTAACGAGACGAAATATTAACTGCGGGTGTATAACTTTGAAGTTTCGAGGTAATTGGCGAAACCCCGCCCAGATCGCATTTTCGCAAGTTTCGAAAATTGCTTTGTCTCAAACTGAATTTCCTTGCCGTATCGATCGAGCCTTATCGGGCTGATTCGCGTGTGCGCGTTCTATTATCCGCCTCCATTCTTAGTGTAATGATCATACTACGGTTTACCGATGAACAAACGAACACATCCTGTTAATGTATGAATCTTGCAGGGAGTAAACGCGGGTTTCCCAGGTACAAACACATGCGTATCCGCGTGTGTACCTGACACCGCTGAATACATATATCCGCGCAGCGCGTATCATGCGCTCTAAGGTACGGTGGCTCTAATTAAATAATTAATGGCTAATGAGTTAGGTATGTCGTCTATATCGCGAAACTCGGAAGATATATGCGCTTCCCTGCTGAAACAATCGCTACTCCGCGGATATACTACTCCGTAGGATATTCTGAAATATTAACTCGTTTATATACAAATACGCGAAATCATTATTTCCAACGACAGTGGATAAATACGTTAATTATGCTCCACGTGCGTTCACCGCGTATAATCACAGTAGGAACGCGTGGAATTCGTGGAAAATATGAACCTCAAATAGCTCCGAATGCCGTCCGAACCGGATGCGTCATCAAACTCCGGAACTCAATTTATCGAGGAGACAGTAAGCTCGCAAAACAAAGTCTATGTGGGTACCAATGCCATCGAAGATAATCTCGATACCGCTGGGAAATTCCTGCGGGAAACACGCTGTACTCTGGAACAACAACGGGAAAAAAAAAGAGACATTCACGACGACACCGTGCTTTGCGTTACGGATGACGCGACGCCGCTGTAAATAAAATGGCGCGTTACTAATTTAGATCTCTGTCAGATAAGACCGACCTGCAGGACGTCATCAGTGCTCGTCGTTCGATTGCGTTTCGATACGACTCGATCTGCACTCGACCGTCTATCTAACTAAAAGTGTGCAACAACACACGTGCGGAAACATGAGAGCGCGGCAAACGCCGCGATTATGGCAACAGGATTATTATTCATATGAAAATACTGTCAGTTTCATATTAGTATCGCGTCATTATGTGTACGATGATGTTTATCTATATGGCCATGGGCGATCGAAGTGGGGACAATTATGCGACGACGCAGAAACGATTAGCGATAATGACTTCCTTATCGACTTTTTCCTAAATGCACGTCACCACTGCGTGGTATAATTATAAAGCATTTTATTAAAAGATTGTCGTACAACACAATCACACACTTTTAATATATCGTATTCGATAGTATCTTCCGACAACTATATTATCTACTCAACACAATCGGTTTTAAATCGGTTGTAAATTTTTAAATCCCATTCTTGCGCCTTCCGCCACTCAATCGTGAAGGAGATTTGATGACTGTCAATCCATAATATTTTATTAGTATCTTTTTTACGTCACGTCTGACGTCTTACTGCAGACTCGATGATGCCGGCAATACATTTCGTGCATCCGCAATTCACGTCTCACGTTTAGGTGCTGACGTAGGCTTCGCGAATCCATTCGCGAAAGTGACCGACGGAGGTGAAACCAACGTACGAATTGTAATCGCAAGTGCCCCTATTTTCCGGGCTTACGCTCACAATGCCGCGAAGATACCAAATGCCATCCTTCTCGAAGCACAAGCCGCCGCCGCTGTCTCCGTCGCAGACACTGGAGCCTGATAATCATATGCAATTACTTTCATTACGCAAGATTACGAAACATCAGCGAAAAACGCATGCGCATATTTTTATCGAGATTTACGTGTGCAACAAAGATACAATTGCGCTTACAAAGTTACTTCATCAATCAATCGCTACTCATTATCATTCACTATTATGTAATAATCTCTCGTGGAAATTCTCTATGAGCAACGTAAATAAATCTCGCAATCATCCGCGGACATAAACTCACCGTTCAAGTGGCCGGCGCAGAACTTGTCGGACGTGAGGAATCCTCGAAAATCTACCGGAACCGTGGACAAACACTGATCGTACGGCACGAACGGCATGTCGACTTCCTGTAAGGTCTGGGTGGATTCGCCTTTGATGTCTTTACCCCAGCCGACCACCTGAAATCACGAAGTGAGCTCACGTGTGTCCATTTCATTTTCTCTCTTTATATTTCGTTCTTCCTTCCGCGAGCAACGAGCGAGGCGAGCGTGCTCTATCAAAATTAGAGATAGATAGAGCCCATATAGCGATCGGAGATCCGACGGAAACTACCCCTCTGCGTGTATTTGCGGCAATTAGCGTGGACACGATGTAACAATGTTGCCCAGCGCGCACGCGGCCAAAGTTTAGTTCGAAACCATGCTGCGTTAATGCAGTTTACAACTATTAGTTCGCCGAATGTACTTTCGCTCGGACACTACAAAGCGCCCTCGTAATTAATTGAACTGCGCTAAGGCGGCCAATTAGTTCGGTTTCTCACGATTGATACTTGGCCAGTGTTACCTTGCCGGAGTGTCCCACTTGCAGCTGCTCCCTCTCGTACTCGTTGTCCCAGTCTATGCAAACCGGCCTCACCAGGGTAGTCAGCTCGAAGGGCGTTTTCAGTTTTAGCAAAGCTATGTCGTCGGCGAAATTACCCCTCGCCCCCTGGTATCTACCGCCCGCCTGGATGCTCTCCACCCAGGATTTCTGCGCGTATTTCTCTCTGGCGTCCCAATCGCGAGCGTGCTTACCGGCGGCCACGGCGTACTTGGACGCGTCATGGAGTCGGTTGTAAACCTCATCGTAGAAACAGTGAGCCGCTACGGGTACACACGAAGAGAGTAAAGAATAAAGCGATTCGCCCTTCGCGATAATTTACCTGACACGACGAGATTGTTGCTAATTAAAGTGCCACCGCATATCTGCTCGTACTCGTCCGTGCGTTTCTTGGCGTAGATACCAACGTGCCAGGGAAATACCCCCACTTTGGCTTGGAATCCGTTTACGATTAAGGTGTTGCCACGTGCGACGGACGTCCCGCATTCTAATCAAGCGGAATATCATTAATATTTTCGTAGTATTTCGTAGTATTTTACGATATGATGGTAAGATGAGTACGTAAATCACCGGATCGTAAATCACAAACCGGAAAAAGTCTCGGAATTGCAATCTTAGATGGCAATTATTGAAGAAAAACATTGCACGGCCCGCTGCTAATGGACGGCAGCATCGAGCATGCAAAGATGACTAGTTTAATTTGTCGAGACTTTTTCACTTTGGTTCCTCGGGAAACATGCAAATGACGAGTACCTGGTAGACAACGAAAAACACGACGGTCCCATAAACCATCGTCGAGACACGTGATCTCCCTGTAAGCCGGATCGTTCGTTAAAGGTAATTTATAAGATGATTTACAAGCGAGTGTAGCCCGTGTACCAGGCATTATACGCTCGCTACAGGACACCGTTTCCCCTTGGTAGCTGCAGGAAATGTCTACGGTGGTGCTGTTTAACGGCGGGCAGACTTCTACGAAGATAATCAACGGGGAAGGTAAACAATAAATTTTATATCACACGACGTACCGTTAAATAAGAAGAATGTCTTTGCTTCTAGCAAAGACATTAAACGTCCTCTGAGGATAAATACACCGTCGAAGTAGACTTACTGAGACACGAAGGCGGCTGATACCACTGATTGTCGACACAAACAGAAATAGTGTTTCCGCTCAGTACGTAATTGCTTTTACAAGTAAAATTGAGTATGCTGTTTTTGGGAACTGTATCACCAGGATGTTTAGTACAATGGTGATCGCAACCGCCCAACACGTAACGTCCACCTTCCGGTTGCTCAGGCAAAATGCAGCCATCCTCCTGATTCCTATTTCTATAATTTCACGAATATGCAATATGATTCTTAAATTAAATATTTAAAGCCAAAGAGAGTTTTTTTTTAAAACAAACAGAGAAATTAAAAAAAGCAAAGAAAAAAAGGAAAATTCTGAAATAAATATAATTATTATTATTATAGAATTTGTTTATAATATATTATATTGTAAATTTAAAATAATTGAATGGCATTTGAATGGAAAATTATTTAAACAAAATTAAAACGTTTTGCTTACTCAATACAATATTGTTCGTCGCTAGCATCGAAACAGTCA